GCCGGCGTCTCGGGGGCTGCGCGGACGCCCGGGCCCGGCGAATGATTTGCAGCAGCGCCGCTAGGCCCGCGCAGCTCCGGGCAGCTTCAAAACGGGCGCGCCGGCCGCCTTCCCAAACAAGGTCGCCTACGTCATGCGTCACCGCGACGCGTGGCGTCATCACGGCGGCCACGGGCGGCGCACGTCGGCACGCACGCCTCCCTGGCTTCGGACGCAGCGGCCTGCGGGGTCTTTGGCCGGGGGGTGGGCTTTGATGCAAGTGGGCGGGGCGTTTAGGGGCTGGGTGAGGACGGGGACGGGGCTGGCGGCCGCCCCACACGAGGTCTTCCTGATTTTTGGCTTTTTAGGGGTGCAGCCCACGCCCGCGAGGCGACCTGAGGGCCGGGGAGGTGGGAGCATGCGCCCCGCGTGCGTGCTCAAGGGGGGGGGTGGGGTTTGGCCTGGCAACTTGAGCATGCGCAGTGCGTGCCAGCCGAGAGCGAGCTGGAGGCCCGGCGGTGTGGGGGACCGGGGCGGGCATGCGCAGTGCGTGCCCGCCGGGAGCGAGCCGGAGGCCCGGCCGTGGATGGCTGGGGGGCATGCGCAGTGCGTGTCCGCCGAGCACAGGGACGAGCGTGCGCGCGGCGGAGGTCGGGAGCGAGCGCTAGCCTAGGCAGGCAGTTTGTACATTAGAAGGGGAACTTCAGATCGTGAAGGGCCCCGTTGACGTTAATTTTGTTTACCAAGCGGTAATGATGCGTTGGACGCGTGCAACTCTTTTAAACGTCAGCTCTTTGGCAGGAGAACGAACTGCGTTTATTGCAAAAATAATAAATCTGTTGTGTTGGAGGTGCAATTAATTACCTGAATGACCTTTTGCGCCTCCCTCCCTCCCCCCGGCTAGCTTATTTCCGTTTATACTTTTAACCGGGTCGTTAAATCATACACAGGGCACACATGCACTCTTTGTGTCTTGTGTTTTTGGTTTTCTGGGTTTTTTGGTTTGTTGTTTTGTTTTGTTTTGTTTTTTTGGTAAAGACGTTTTCTTCTCCCTAACATGATTTTGTAAAATAGTTTTCACTTGAGTTTGCCCCGTTTTCGGGGGTAAGTTCAAGGCTTTAGGAGCTGGGTTCCACTCAGCAGTATAAATAGAGCGGACTCACTGGGTGTCTGGTTTTGTTTTGTGTGTGTAATGATTTCCAACTCGGTCCGTGTTTTGCAACTGCAGCTGAAACTCCGTGTGCACCCGCTCGTGGGAGCGCCATAAGGCAGGAATCCTGCGAAGTTATTTCTGTTAATTGGGAAGCAAATGCTTGTGTGGGATGCTGTCGTTTCTGGACAGAAGTGAGTATTCATACAGATCGCTCTTTGGGTTTATCACATACAGACATCTTGTCAAGGAACAGACATGCCTTTCACCCCGGGTCTTTAAACGAGCTGTCGCTCACTGCTCCCTTCATCGCTGTGGTTTTGGCGAGGAAAGGGCTTTTTTTGAGCCCCTGCACAAGACGGCTTTATACGTCCGGGGGCCGGTGGTGAGGCCCAAGGTAGTACTGTACAGCTTCCAAGCGGACAGAAATAAGGTCCAGGACAGGAACAGAATGCACCTTCAGTCTGTGCTGGCCCGCGAAGACCCTGTCCTGCGAGGACAAAGAGGTGCTGTGGGACCCCGAGGCCCCCCGGAGCCAGCCCTGTGCGGGGCTCGACCGGAAACAGGAGCACCGTCTGCTGATGACACGGAGGATGCTCTGGTTCTGCCTGACTACCAGTGGGGTGGCAGGAGGGCCCCCTCAGGACAGAAGGATGGGGGTGGGGAGGAGCCAGTGGAGAGGAATATTCCCGAGGATTCTGTGTGGGAGGGGGGGACCGAGGAACAGCGGAGTCGGCTTCCCTACTGTGTTATCCTGGGGAGCTTGCAGAGATAGGCACTGGGATGGTTGGAGGGGAGGGTGGCCCCTTCCTTTGCTCACCCGAGCCCAGTTTCCTCTGTTGGCTGCAATCCACCCGGCCCCTCAGAGCTGGTCCACACACCCCCAGCTTCAGCTCCATCAGGTGCTGGCTGCTCAGAAAGGCAAACCCATCACTGAACAACAAAACAACGTGTCTTTCTGCAGAGCCCCAGGTGGTTGATGGCACCCCCCTACTTGGGGAAGGAAGAGGCCCCAAAGACAAGTGCCTGTGAGGTCCGATCTCACGGGTCCAGGCTGATCCTAAGCTGCAGGTACACTCACTGGAAATCAGAGTGATCAAGTTTGTATCTGCCAAGTACATTCATCCAAAACGAGTTGCTTTTTCTTCTTTTTAAAAAATCTCTGTTTCTATCATTAGAACAAACTTCTGGGCGCCTGGGTGGCTCATTTGGTTGAGTGGCCAACTCTTGATTTTGGCTCAGGTCATGATCTCAGGGTCATGAGATCGAATCCTGAGTTGGACTGGTGCTCAGCGGGGAGTCTGCTTGAGATTCTCTCTCCCTCTCTCTCTGTTCCTCCCACTCGTGCCCTCTCTCTCTAAAATAAATAAGTAAATCTTAACAAAAAAAAAACGAACCCCAGAAGAGCCATAAATGTGCCTGTGTTTGGTTTCAAGTGATTTCCTTCAAAGAAGCTAACCAGGAGCTTGATGATGTTCCTTGTGTCAGGTCTAGATACTATTTATGAATTCTGCCTCTCTGTCTCTCCTCTTCCTGTTTTATGTGCTTCCCTTTGCTGCTGACTGACTTCCTTTCCAACATTTGGTTTTGTTTGCTGCCCCACGGCATGTCCTTTCGTACAATTTTGAAGTGGAAGAATTGGGTCTTTTTCTGTGCTCCTCGAACACTCCGTAGCAGTGGGGTGGGTGAGTGGACCGGGCTGGTGGGCCAAAGGGCGCATTCCACGACTGGGATGTTTCATGTTGCATTATTGTCGCGGGATCGGTTCCTTCTTGTGAAGCGGTCACCCCTGCTCCTCCTTCCCTCCAGGACTCAGCCCACGACCCAGCGTCACTGCCTGCCCTTGATTAAAATCAGACTGATTTTCCATGACAGCTTTCCAGCGACGGAACCACAGATGAAATGGCCTTGGAAGACTTTTTCTTTCAGCAAAGACGGTGTCATGGTCATTCCCTGGGTGCTATGCTGTTACTGTTGCCAGGACAAAAAGCATAGAAAACATCCATTAAAACTTTCCAATCTAAGCAGTGGTGTTTTAGGTAAAATGCCATACGGACCTGGTAATTAAGAAAAATAATAATTTATTTTGTTAGCATCCATCTTAATAAGCTTTCAAAGAAGAATAGAAGTGTTGATCAAACCAACAAAAGGAAACGAATTGATAGCAGCCCTAACCAAACTAAAGAGAACAGAAAAATCGTAAATGCTTAAAAAAAAAAAAAAAAAGGATGTTGTTCAGATTTGCCCTTTTCTCCAAAAGGAAAGAGTTTTACAGAGGTTATGCACGTGTGCATTTTTTTTTTCAGATGTCCACGTATTTTCCTGATTCAAGATCCCAGTTTTAAGCAGTGACGTGGTGGTGGTGGGGGGCCTCACAGACAGCGAGGCTGTGTCTCCACGGTCCTGCAGATGAGAGTCAGCCGCTGAATGATGTGTTTCTGTCCAGCTCCCGCTGGGATGCTTGGGAAGCTTTCACTTCTTGCTATCAGCTCGCCTGGATCCGTCAGTCCTTTCTTAATTTATTTATGATGTATTTATTATGCTGGAATGTGGCATAATTAAGCTGCCGCCTATTGGGTCCTCTGAGTGTGTGCTACAAGCCTGAGGACAGAGATAAATAAAAGACGGTTCACAATCTCAAAGATGTCCTAGTGAAATGGGGTGGGAGTGGGGATTTATAGAATTAGATAATTCAATGCACAATTATGCATCACAACGTGGAAGTGTGAGGAGAGAAAGGAAAATATGCAGAGAGAACTGGCTGAGGGAGGGAACATCAGCCTCACAGAGGGGGCGCTCAGTAAGTGGACCCGTTCAGGACAATTTATACTGGAAAGCAGAATGTACCAAAGAACACACAAGAAAAGGAGCTACAAAGGCCTCCTGAGGGGCTTCTGTGCCAGGCAAACATGTTTGGACTTTCTCCTGCACAAAAAATGGAATCAGGAGGTTGGACAAATAGAGATTCACGTTACCTTATGGCAAAACAGTTGCTACAATGTGGCTTGCAACAACCTGGAAGGTGGGGCTGTGCCTGGTCCCCCTGTGGCATTGGGAAAGGGTGGGAAAACACAGCTGCAGGCTGGTTGTTTCTCTCTGCATTTGATCAAAACACAAACGGTAGAAGTTTAGAGAAGAATGGGCCAGCTTGCAATCAGAATTTTAGAGAGGATACGGACAGCCCCCAAAACTGCAGGGTTGAAAAAGGAATCGGGTTTTCACCCAATCAGAAGTGTGTGCATTACAATACCGCTTTTGGCAGGGGGAAGACCCAAGGCAGGTTTAATCCCCTTTGTGAAAACCCCTGAAAGAATGTAGGTGCACAGACGGGCTCCCAGAAAGAGCGCCAAGTCCCTGTGACCAAGTTTAGGGAGAAGAGCCAGCCCGGATCGGCCAACTTCCTGCCGTGGTATAGATACCCTAACCCTAACTAGAGAGTTTGGGGATGGTTGTTATGCACTGGCCGCTGACTGATACATACAGTTGGAGCCATTGAATCAAGCTGGGGATTGAAACGATCAAATATGTCTGAGGCATTTGAGGAGCTTCCCTCTGGCAGGGAGGAGGAAGATCGGTTACAGACATAGGAACCCACACAGCTGTTAGCAGGCTGTTGGGGCTTTATACAGTGTGTCAGTCGTCTGGCTCTGCTGTAACAAGTTGCCACAAAGTTGGAGCCTTAGGAGAACACAGAAGTGTTCTCCCACATTCTGGAGGGCACAAGGCCAATGTCAGTCTTACTGGGCTGAAGTCAGGGTGTCACAGGGCTGGTTCCTTCTGGACACTCTGCATGGACCTGTGCCTTGTCTTTTCCAGCTTCTGGTATCCACCTTGGCTCAGCGCCCTTGCTCCACCTTCAAGGCTCATCCTTCTCACCTCTGCTTGTATGTCATGTGGCCTCCTCCTTTTCTGTGCTCCCCCATCTCCCTCTGCCTCCCTTGCGTAAGGACCCTTGGGATGACACTGAGCTTACACAGATATCCAGGATGATCATCCACCTCAAGACTCACTTCATTTATTATTAACATCAGTTATCATCAGTCTTACTTCGCTAGGGCTGCTGTGCCAACATACCACAAACTAGGTGACTTGACCAATCGACGTGCATCCTCTCCCGGTCCTGGAGGCTGGGAGTCTGAGATCCTGGAGACTGTGAGTGTGAGATCCAGATGGGGCTGGAGGCTGGGAGTCTGAGATCCAGGAGGCTTGGAGTCTGAGATCCAGGAGGGGCTGAGGCTGGGAGTGTGAGATCCAGGAGGGGCCGAGGCTGGGAGTCTGAGATCCAGATGGGTCTGGAGGCTGGGAGT